GGAAGGCCATTCCATGCATCCACTACCCTCTCAGTAAAGTAATACTTCCTGATATTATTTTTAAACCTTTGCCCCTCTAATTTAAGATGTTGTCCTCTTGTTGTGGTAGTTCTCCCTCTTTTAAATATAGTCTCCTCTTTTACTCTGATTCCCTTTATGTATTTAAATGTTTCTATCATATCCCCCCTGTCTCGTCTTTCCTCCAAGCTATACATGTTAAGTTCCTTTAACCTTTCCTTGTAAGTTTTATCCTGCAATCCATGAACCAGTTTAGTAGCCCTTCTCTGAACTCTCATTTAAGTATCAATATCCTTCTGAAGATACGGTCTCCAGTACTGCGTACAATACGCCAAGTGAGGTCTCACCAGTGTTCTGTACAATGGCATGAACACTTCCCTCTTTCTACTGCTAATACCTCTCCCTATACAACCAAGCATTCTGCTAGCATTTCCTGCTGCTCTATTACATTGACTGCCTACCTTTAAGTCATCAGAAATAATCACCCCTAAATCCCTTTCCTCATATGTTTAGGTTAGTAGGGTATCAAATATTCTGTACTCTGCCCTTGAGTTTTTATGTCCAAGGTGCATTATCTTGCACTTATCCACATTAAATGTCAGTTGCCACAGCTCTGACCATTTTTCTAGTTTACCTAAATCATTTGCCATTTGGCTTATCCCTCCTGGAACATCAACCCTGTTACATATCTTAGTATCATCAGCAAAAAGACATACCTTACCATCAAGACCTTCTGCAATATCACTAATAAAAATATTAAAGAGAATGGGTCCAAGTACAGATCCCTGAGGTACCCCACTGGTGAAAAGTCCAAGCTTCGAATATATTCCATTAACTACAACCCTCTGTTGCCTGTCACTCAGCCACTGCCTTACCCATTCAACAATATTGGAATCCAAACTTAAAGATTGCAGTTTATTGATAGCCTTCTATGTGGAACAACATCAAAAGCCTTACTAAAATCTAGGTAAGCAATGTCTACTGCACCACCCTGATCTATAAGGTGAACCATTATGACAAAACTCCCTGGCCCGTCACCCTGGCCATCTGTGTAGTGTAAAAAGAGCTTTAATATGGCTAAGGAAAAGCCTGTCAAATCCAAATGCCCTCATAGTTTGAATTAACGAACTCCCAGTTGACCCGTGTCTGGGGGCGTGATTGATGTAGTCATACACTCAAAATGTGAGAGGGCACCTGTAAACCATGCGCACAATATTATTAATTACTCAATGTCGGCACGTGTCTGCTACGTCATAAAAAGAGGTATGTGCACAGCGAGCAGCAGCCAGGAAACTATCGGATCAGGCAGGATGGTCGGAGAAGGTGGTCTGCCTGTTCGGAGAAACAGCTGATTGGCGGACCACCAAGGTAAGTATAGAATTCATCACAGTTGGTTATTTGTACTTGTTGTCATTTTGATTTTACTTTTTGATTTTATCTGGTCCCTGCTTGAAATAAAGATCTAATCGAAAATTAAATTCTAAGAGCTTCAGCTCTTGACAAAGGCACCTGTGTCGCCGAAACGCGCATTGGGCTTACTGACATTTTGACACATTTTATGTGTATTTAGACTCCAGCTTTCCTTATTCATTAGAGGATGAGAGAGGGGGGTTAGATCTTAGAATTTAATTTTCGATTAGATCTTTATTTCAAGCAGGGACCAGATAGGTCCGTAACTAGATCGGACAGATATTTTCTTAGTGAGCTTGTGTTAGCCCTGTACTCGTTACTCACTTTAGGGAGTATGCTCCAGACTATTGGCACTGAGTTAGTTGTACCTCTGCCTGTGCCGTGCTGTGCTCTATAAATATCAGTGGAGCCTTGTCTATTCCAAGGAGCAATGTCTCTGTAAGTGTAGGTCTGGGCTATATCTCAGTAGTGGCTGTCCTAGATCATTCGATTATTATCTAATTTCTGTTTCTCTTCGTGTTTTTGGGGGGGATTAACAGAGTGTTTTCATTGGGATTTGATTATTATCGGCTAGCATTTCAACCATATATAATTTTTTGGTTCGCTATACGCTGCCGTTTTTTCTCCCTATTTCCCTGACGAATTTACACACCCTCTTAATTTCAAAGTTTTTTCTATTTTCTCCACATTTATTGTAAACACACTTGCTGTAATTATATGTGGGTTATAAATACATTCTTTGAAATCATCTACTACAGTAGGTTTTCCTCCTAATACTGACTACTGATACATCGTTACAATGTTGCTTAAATCAGCAACAGTCTACTAGTATATTGCTACTGTTTCAGTATTTAGCCATAATAATGCATAACTTATAAGAGATAGCATAATAGCCAGAGGTCTTTATCCTTTTTAACTATTTTTTGTAGTTTTAACCTACATTATATATAAACCTTCACCCCCCCCCACCCTTTTTCATTTAATTATCTAACCCTTATGAGGGACTAATAAAGATTTATTATTTTGGTATTTTTACTATGCTCTATAACTAGTAACGTTCAGCTGAACACTGGTGGAGCATTTTACGTCGTCCTACCCTTATGAGGGACTAATAAAGATTTATTAATTTGGTAGTTCAACCATGCTCTATAACTAGCAATTCTCTGCTGTATTTGGGTGGAGCACTTTATGTTTTGGGTATAAAGACGTGATTTGGGAGCACTGGTCTAGTTAACCCCTTCCCGTCTCTTCTTTATCTGGTGTTTCCTGTCTCCATGGTGGAATGCACGCGTCACACCGGAAGTGACACGGCGTATATGGCCATTATGGCCAGCTTGGAACACAAACATGACTATATGTCATTATTGCGAATCTCGCTGTACTTATAATGCTTTAATTACAGAGGAAAAGGGGATATGAATGATACAATTTGGTATTTCTGATATTATAGAAGCTTGTAATAGGTGTGCTTCTGCAGCATAAGTCCAAGATGGGCACGACGTATGAGCGGAAATGAACGAACACTCCATTGGGGATTATAATCTTAATATACCAGAAGTATCCTGGCAGCCATTTTGGAGCCGGGCAACATGTATAAAAGGAAAAAAAAAAGTGTATCAGGCACTTGTATTCATAGAGGGAAATGAATATATCATATTGAAATAATGGTATACAATATACAAATCGATAATGCACATATACAGAGAATATCTTCCATAAAAAGTATAAATAATGTGTGTGTGTATATGTATATATATGTATATGTATGTATATATATATATATATATATATATATATATATATATTTATAGAGAGAGAGAAAGCTTATATACATAAGATATATAAACAAAGCATAGAAATGTATAATGATGAAATTACGTTAAAATATAGTCACAAGGGACTGTGTGTATAAAAATGGTGATATACAGTTGGTTACAATTACACAAAAATAGTATTGAAATAAAATACATAGCTGTACATTTCTCAGGTGATTTACTTCACATAGGGGAGGGTAATGGTTAGGAATGGGTGTTATAATACATCTAAAGAGTTTATGTGTATATATATATATATATATATATATTTATATGTATATATAAAAATACAAAATACCCCTGCACTCCAACTAAAAAAAGAAAAATAGTACCTGGTGCTCTGGTGGCTTAATCATAAACAAAGTGAAAATACCGGCACTCAAGGTTTTCCAGAAGATAACTTCTCCATTTATTGCGGAAGAAAAATTCGACGTTTAAGCTCCACTGGGGAGCTTTCATCAGGACACAAACATTCATAAAACTGAAAAGACTTATATAGGACATATAATCATGTGGTTCTTACAATTAGTGATGTCGCGAACGGTTCGCCACGGTACGCCATGAACCGTTCGCGGCGAACTCCGGTCAGCTGACACATCTGCCAATCTCTGGCAAACCCTCCCTCCCAGAGAGCCCTAAATTAAACACTCCCCCCCAATCAAGTTGACTAGGGGCCCCAAGCCCCTAGTCACCCCTCCCACCCAAAACAAACTATCCCCTACCTACCCCCCTCACCCTAAAACTAGTGAGGGGGGAATAAAATAACTAACCTGTAAAAAAAAAAATTAAACTAACATTTCACGTCTTCTTTTTTCTAAAATCTTCTTTCTTCAGCCCCCAAAAAGGCCAAATAAAAATCCATCATACCCGTTGCACTTTAAAAAAAAAATAAAAAAAATTAATCCTTGTTCACCCTTCAAGGGCACGCCGCGTACTGAGCTCCGCAGGGCAGGTCAGTAGGTTCCCCCCCTTATTGTTTTATTAGGGCCCCCACCCACCGCTCAGGGGTGGGGGCTGGGGGGGAGGACAGTAGGTCCCCCCCATCTTTATTTAGGGCCCCCACCCACCGCTCAGGGGTGGGGGCCAGGGGGAGGACAGTAGGTCCCCCCCTTATTGTTTTATTAGGGCCCCCACCCACCGCTCAGGGGTGGGGGCTGGGGGGGAGGACAGTAGGTCCCCCCTTATCTTTATTTAGGGCCCCCACCCACCACTCAGGGGTGGGGGCCAGGGGGGAGGACAGTAGGTCCCCCCCTTATTGTTTTATTAGGGCCCCCACCCACCACTCAGGGGTGGGGGCCGGGGGAGGACAGTAGGTTCCCCCCTATCTTTATTTTGGGCCCCCACCTACCGCTCAGGGGTAGGGACCGGGGGGAGGACAGTAGGTCCCCCCCTTATTGTTTTATTAGGGCCCCACCCACCGCTTAGGGGTGGGGGCCAGGGGGGGAGGACAGTAAACCCCCACCTTATTGTTTTATTAAGGCCCCCACCCAAAGCTCAGGGGTGGGGGCCAGGGGGGAGGACAGTAGGTCCCCCCCTATCTTTATTTAGGGCCCCCACCCACCGCTGAAATCTATTTTCCCTGAATGGTTTCCGAGGATACATGGCAGACCTGTCTTTCCTCTCTCGCCCCTCTACTCTGAAAATCCTTGCAGCATCTACAGCAAAACTCTCATTTTTTTTTTTTTTCTTCGCCACAAATTATCAGCTCTTAACAGTAAATCACACATTTCTGATGGGTTTGGGGTTACAGATAATATCTCATATAATATCTAATGCATCCAAAAACCTTGATCTATGCACCAGCCCTCCCTGTTCAAAACCAGGATTACTGACCCCAAACTGTTCCATCACTGTGGAGATTCTGGCTGACAATTCATACGGAGAGTCTTGTTTTAGCTGTTTAATTTTTCCAGACAATGACACATTTGATGTAACTCCATAAAGTGCTCTCAAGATCTCTTTCAACATATCCCTAGTTCCATGCGGCTGACCACATGTCTGTACAATCCTGACCCACAATCCATTTCTATCAACTCTCTGCAGCACTATCTCCATATCACTAGTTATCAAACTATACATCTCTTTCACTCTTTGAAATCCACAAAACCATGGCAAAAAGCGATTGATATCCTGCTGAGGGACCTGCCCTATTTCTCTAACTATGGCATCCATTTCTTGTGGCTTTAACTGCTTAGTAACCAACTGAATCTCTCCAGAATTATCAGGATTCAACACTGTGGTTGTTGTAGTTGGAGCAGCAGGGAGATTTGTTATTGACTTTTGTTTCAAATCCTCCCATTGATAAATAGGTTTGTATCCTGTATCTCCAATCCCTGGGTTAGCAATAGACCCTGGAATTTGATATACAGGAGACATACTCGAAGGTGCCATGCTTTCTGCCATTTTATTAAAAGCCATATTAGTAGCATGTCTGCATTCATCCAATTATTTTTGCAACTCCAACATTTTGTCATTTAGCCTCTCATTCTCCACTGTAAGTTCGTCGCACATTTTGGCCTTTTCAATCAAAGCTTCACCAGTTGTAACTGCATACAATCTAAGATCTACAATATTATTATTCAATTTCTAAGATTTCCTTTTAATTACTGAATTAGGCTCTGCCATTTCCTCCTCCTTTATTTTTACAATTCCCTCTAATTTTAAACATGATATTAATGCTTACATAATACATCTTTTTCTTTTATCAGTCGCATTTTTATCAAATAACATTTCTCCTAAAAACTCCTGCATCTTTTCCCATAAGTGTTTACAGTCCCAAGAGATTTCATAAGGACCACCATGTCTCTTAATATAATTCATAAGCCATTGTTTGACATTTTCTGAACAAGCCATTTTTTGCAACTACCTTTTTACATGCCATATTAAAAATATACACTGCAGCAATAGAATAAATAACGAATATACTCAGATCTATGCAGGCTGACAGTCACAGATCCAAATATGTTGATGTTAAAAATCTTCCGGCCACGGCACCAATTATGTTGTATAATTCTTCTGTCATCACCAATACTTCCAATTGGTATTCCTTTTGAGAGAAATCCACTCTGCGTTGTGTATTAATAGTGAATGTAATTGTAACGGCACCCCCAGGCAGAAAAGGGTTAACAGCCATTTAGGAGATATTGCCCTTCCAGATATACAGGCAGCTACTGTAGACACCAATCCACTGAACTGGAGAAGCATATGAATGCTCTCAAACACATGAATGCTGTAAACAGCCGAATAGAAAAAAATAAATATGAAAGGTTTACACGGTTTACACTCCTAGCAGTCGAACTGGAACCGCAAACAATAAATCCCCCCAAGAACAAGACAAAGCTCCGTATTGATGGTCAAGCAGGAACAGACAGAGCTGTGGGTTTATTCTTCTTATATACACATTAGTACCACCCACAGAGTTTTGGAAAACAACCAATAAACACGTACAATACACTCAGACACTCCGATACAAAATCCTCCCCTCTGCCTGTGATACAATTACCTTACACAATGGGTAATGTAATTATCACAGGCAGAGAAATACAGTTTTTCCACATTATTCATAACTTTAAAAGTATGCATTCACATGAAACTTACTCAGAATCAGCATACTCAAAAACATATGTCAAAATCATCCAAATTGGTCCATTGGTTCAAAAGATAGATCATAGTCCTTTGTGACCAAATGAAGCATGGCTTTTCTGCCCAAAACCAGTTCCACAGAGCCTTCTATCCTGGAGATAATTGGGAAGTAATCCAATTATCTCCAAGGACAGAGGTAAAACTCCATTGAACACATGGTAGCAAAATACAGTAAAATACAATAAAATACACTAGGTTACATTTATTACATAAAATACAGACATGCAACATATCCCCAGATAGCTTAGGTCTGAGCGCACATTATTACTGAATGGCATACAGTTAAATTGCCATGGAGCCAAAGTCTTTTATTACACGAATAGGCTCCATGGCATTACTATCTGGGTTAAATGAGTTTATTCAGTAAATCAGAGAATATACCGAAGGCCAGGGCAGAAATACATGAATAGACCTTCCTGCATAGGAAAATAAAGTATTTAAATGCCGGTCCATAGTCAAAAGGCAGCAGACAGGCAACCAGGCTCCTCCAGTGCACAGTGGCGAGATTGGTCTCGTCACACCCTGTTATACGGCATTCATATATATACGAATGCCCGACCACCTGGCTCTTGGCGTGTGCCGCTAGTTGACCCCACCGACTTCAAAAGTACCGAAAAACCTGTCGAACAACGACCACCCAGACCCTGGCGTGTGGCTCCAGTTGAGTTGTGGTTTCTGTGGTTAACTACAATTAAAGTACTATCCCAGGGTGGTCACCGTTCATATACCGAACACGAGGCGGCGGCCATCTTTGGGTCATCTAATGCTCAGCGGGACTCGAGTGCAGTACCCCTGGAACTAACATCGGCTACTGATCTGCACGAATCTGCTGAGGTGCTGGTGGTCCCATCCATCTATACATACCCCTACAAACAGACTTTGGATTCAGGACTTTTACACACCATTTGGGAGATCTGCGCGCAATTTATACATCTTATGCGCTCAGATCTGAGCTACCCAGAGAATGGTCGAACAGGATATTTCAGTGTGGCGAAACCAACCTCGCCACTGTGAACTGGAGAAGCCTGGTTGCTCGCCTGCTCCCTTTGGACTATGGCCCTGCAGGTTAAACCGCTTATTTCCCCTGCAGAAAGGCTTATTTGTGTGATCTGAGTGCCATTCATCTAATAATGTGCACTCAGATCCCAGCTATCTGGGGATATGTGAAATGTCTGTGTGTTATGTGTAAAAGGTGACTTTATGTATTTTAAAGTGTTTTGTGTCTTTTTGCAACCATGTGCTTAATTGAGTCTTGTGTCTGTCCTGGGAGATAATTGAATTACTTCTGTCTGTTCCTGCTTGACTCTCAAAACGGAGCCTTGTCTCGTTCTTGGGGGGATTTATTGTATGCTGTTCCAGTTCGACTGCTAGGAGTGTAAACCTATTCGTATGTTTTTTTTCCTATTCGTCTGTTTACGGCATTCATATGGTTTCCTGTTCGGCAGATTGGTGTCTTTAGTAGTTGCCTGTATATCTGGAAGGGGAATATCCTCTAAACGGCGTTTAACCACTTTTATGCCCGGGGTGCCGTTACACAGGGGTTCGCATAAAATACAGTATCCACAGTGAAATAAAAGGTTCTGAATGAAACAAAAGTATCTGTACGTATCCAACAGAGGGGGATCTCTGTAACACTCTGTAATCGATACAAGGCCTGTGATCACCCTCCTTCTAGGACACAAATAAAAATCCTGCCCCTGCTGGCGAAGAGGATCTTCTAATGAAGCCTTTTTCAGTTTTTTGTTCATTTATTCCTTTAATACAGTATTCTCTTTAGCTAAAAGAGGATATATAGTACATCTAGAAGGCATGGTACCCGATGTCAAGACAATGGCACAATCATAGGATCTATGAGGCGGTAATTTATCAGTTTTACCCTTATTAAAATACTTCTTTCATCGTAACATATTGTTCCAGAACCTCTGTAGACAAAGTAGACATGGTTGGAACAGTAATAAAGGTGAATAGACTTTACTTTAGACTTTACTCAAGTACACAAATCTCCTTGTGTAATTCACCTACCATCATATGAACAGGTATGGTTTCATGTGTAATCACATGTACCTGGAAGGTTCTACCATCGATGGCCTCAATGGTCAAGAGTGTATCTCTTAACTGGGAAGGAAGATAATTTTCTAAAGCAAAACTCAGATTGTCACGTGCGTGGGCTATAGGCCCAGCCGAGACAATGGGGAGAGTGTGGAAGTGACAGGGTTAATGACACCAGACCCCTGGTTACCTGTTGCTAGTCCCAGCAACCACTCAATTAACCCCTGCAATCCCTTCTACACTACCCCCCTTAGTACATACTCTACTGCCACCACCAAGACTTTTAAACCCGGGCGTCTTAGGTTACCCCACACACAGGAGAATTATAGTATCACAGTTCTACTTTTACTGATAAAACATATATAGTTAACCCTTTTTGGAGAGTGAAGCTCATAGAGAACAGAGACACAAGCTGATTAAGTAAACATTTAATCTGACAAAAAAAGGATTCACAGTGCTGAGTACAAAATACAGAAATAAATTACATACAGATAACAAATTGCAAAACAGTACGTAAAATAAAATAGGAGAAAACACAAGAAATTCCTTACATGTAGTTACCCCATATAGAATTCTTGTGGGAGTCTTAGATGGTATAGGTCTCCTAGAAGTTGCTGACAAAAGAAAAATGAATAACTGCACACCCTGGATAGTCCAACACCCTCATATATCTAAACTAGTTCTTTCTCAGTGGGCAGACCCCTGGGGGGGGGGGATCAGAGGGGGTTGGTCTGGCAGTCTATTGCCCACTCTATGAAATTCCTTGTGTCCAGCTCTGGTGATGGCTATTTAGATGTTTTATGGTCTAGGCCTGGTGCAAGATCAAAGACCACAATAAATGTCATCCCAAGGTTTACAAAAAAACAACTCTTAACATATATAAACACACATCAAACACCAACTCATGCTTTTCGCATGACACAGATCAATAAAGTTCTCTGCTGCACCAGAATCTATTAAGGCCAATGTCTTCACTGTTTTATCCCAAGTTAAGGTGATTTGAAAAGAAGCCTGTGATCGCTATGTTTTATGTAGGACATAGAAGAAACACCCAAGGCCTGTCCATGGGCGTAGGAACCAGGGGGGATGGGGGGACGCATACCCCCCAGCAAATCATGCGGGGGGGAAAGGTTATGGGGAAATCCCCCCCAGCTCCGCCAGCCCCCCTCATGCTGCAGCCACCCGTGCGCTCTGTAGAGAGCCTCAGGCAGCTGCAGCTTTGCCCGGGCTGGTGCGTCCACCTGGGCGCAGCATGAGGAGAGGGGCTGACAGGAGGTAAGCGCTCAGCGCTCCCTCCTGTCACTCCCTCACTGTAGCGTGGCCGCACGCTACCTCTGTTGTAGCGTGGCCGAGCCCTGTATGGTCCACGGGTACAGGGAGCATCTGTCTCCTGTACCCGGCCAGACTAACAGGAAGTGAACACTGAGTGTGCACTTCCTTTTAGTCCGGCCGGTTACAGGAAACAAAAGCTCCCTGTACCCGCGGACCATACAGGGCCTCGGCCACGCCGGGCCAACAGAGAGGTAGGGAGGGGGGAGGAAGAGAGCAGGAGGGGGGAGAAGGAGAGTGACAAGGAGGGAGGGGGGGGAAAGAGAGTGACAAGGGAGGGGAGGGGGGAGAAAGAGAGTGACAAGGAGGAGGGGAGAAAGAGAGGACAAGTGGAGAGAGGGGGAGAAAGAGAGTGACAATGGAGGGAGGGA